CAGCCAAAATGAAAATGAGGAGGAACCCAGTAGATGGATGCTTTTGGAAGCCCTCGTCAAGAAATTCCAATGGACTTTAATTTGGACATTTGAAATTTGCCCTGTTCTTTTTTTCTGGTTCCTTTTCTAGAACTTGTAATGTTACTCTTGCTTTCACTTCCCCTTCACACCTCCTAGGCACCAGTCAAGGACTTTCTTTTCTCCCTATAGTAAAGAGTAATGCAATTTGGGAGTCTTTTAGATAGGCCCACTGAGGGGGTACCCCAATTGCCTCACCCTGTGTCCCTGTTCAGCATGGAAGAAGTCAGAGCAGTCTGCATCCCAATTCCCTATTGGTAATTTGGGCAACCTCTTCAGAGGGTGGTGTGATAAGAATAGGAGGTAGAAATTGGCTAGGCAGTTAGGGTAAAAGACTCCAAGAAAAGTAACCAGTTTCTTTCTTGACTAAAAGTCAAAATGTCCTTGGACCTTTTAACAACATACTCTGTTCCAAAGACCAAAAATGTCAGAAGTATTTGGGAGCTCTTATCTAATTCCTAAAAGATTTTAGGGTTACCTCTTCAGAAGGGGTAATGTTAGAGTAGCAAAAAGCCCCATAAATTTAACTGTTCTAGACTATAAAAAGTGTCTGGTCTATCTGTTGGAGGACCTACTTTTCCAGTCTCACTGGTCAATTACCTGGTGATAGAACCATTCCTAGGAAGGCAGGTTCACCTTAAGTTATGCTAAATAGATGGGCAGAATACCTGGTGCATTAATGAGGTGGCAAATACTTCCTGCCTAGAACTAGTGCAGATCTCTGCAGAACTTCCGGACCAGCCACAGTCATGTAGGTCTCTGTAAGTCTGTCCGCTTTCCTGAATTCTTCAGGAGAGTGTAATTTCTCCTTTTCTTCTTCCTGCCTTTCCTACTAAACTTGCTTTCTCTAAGGCTTTGGGCTGCCCCAGCATCTTGGATTTCTTCACTTTTTCTCTAAAGCTTCCTTCTCCCAGCCATGTATCTGCAAGTTAGCCACATGTCTGACTTCCCATGCAGGCTCTAACCCTGCATGGCTTCCCCATGGCTTTCTTTCCTTCTTCCTACCATTCACCTCCTCAAGGCAGCTGACTTACCAACTTGCCTGCCCTGAGGATTTTTCTTTAAGATTCTAATAAAATTGTAAAAGCTTAAAAAAGAAAAGAAAGAAAGAAAGAGGGCTGGAGAGATGGTTCAGTGGTTAAGAGCACTGACTGCTCTTGCAGAGGACCCGGGTTCAAGTCCCAGCACCCACATGGCAGCTACGAACCATCCTTACCTCCAGTTCCAGAGGAATCTGAAGCCCTCTTCTGACCTTCACAGGTGCACTCACATACATGCAGGCAATGCATTCATACAAATAAAATAATTTTAAAAAAAATTTTTAAAAAAAGAAAGAAAATGAAGAATGCTGTTCTCTGAAGTATATGGCCTCTACCTACTTTTCTCAAATGCAGACTTGAATGACATTATCTCCTCCACCAACTTCTACCTCCTGGTTAGTTTCAGTACAAGTGGCAGGTAGTAGGACCCCCACGTGCTGGTAACAGTATGTCTACTGCATGTATGTGCACATGTATGTTCATGTGAAGACCCAAGACAGAGGCAGGTAGAGGTTGGCTGTCATACCTACATGAAATGATAATAAGAATAAAGTCACTCAGCTGAGCCTGCCTGTTGCTGACTGCTGTCTCTACCCCTGGCTTGCACAAGCAGTCTGGTAGCACAACCTCCTCCTCCCCTTGGCCTGGGAAGGCAATGTGGCCCACTTCTCTTTCTTGTCCCTGAGACAATCTACTCCCCCAGGCACACAGGAAGCCCAAATGCAAGCTGACAGGACCCATACTCCCGTCTGGGCCTCACCACAGTGAATCCCCCCACCCCTACCCTGTGCAGCTGACACCTGGCTCCCTCCATGGCCTCTCCCCTTATACCCAACAGACTGCAAAGGCCAATTCATTTCTGAAAGTGGGAATCCTTTCAAGAAGCAAAGCTCTCATCTGGGACAATGCCCAGGCCACACGCAGAACAAAGCAGCTCTTTTAGTCAAAGTGTTAGGGCCACATAGACAGCTGCCAGGCTGCAGAGGGCATAGGTGAGGTACTTCTGGAGGAGAAAGGGGGCATCTGACATCCCACACATGACCCTCGTGCCAGGATGACTGACACCTACAGCAGCCTCCCAGGTCCTGAACCCATTCAGCCTAAGGGGCCTGTGAACTTAGCTCCTACATCTGACACCATTTAGTCTCCCAACCCAAGCCCCCTCCTTCCCTCCCTCCCCTCCTATCTGCCCCCATCACTATGTTGTGCTTCCATTTTCTCCCAACTTCAGAGGTCACAGGCTTGGTTAGAAGCCAGGCTAGCCCCCAAGCCAGGCTCAGGAAGACAGTGGTCTAGGAGGAACTTTTATACTGGACTGAATGCTGGTACGGTAAAATTGGCTAGAGGAAGTCAGGGGGACAGGCAGCAAATTAAGGAAGGATTCTGTACTCTCTAAGGAAGGATTTGTACTCTGAGGAGTGCATTCTGATACCAGGGGT